AGAGAGAGAGAGAGAGAGAGAGAGAGAGAGAGAGAGAGAGAGAGAGAGAGAGACAGAGAGACAGAGAGACAGAGAGACAGACCAAGATCAAGACCCTGTGTAGCTCCAGAACAAAGAAAACAGGCACACACATTTCTCCAGCCTCTACCTTTAAGTCTCACAACCTTAAACTTGAGGCCCCATTCAATGTCCATGTGAGTCAACCAGAAGCAGGCAATGGGCTATCTGGAGATGCAAATTATGAGAGTAGACCCTGTCTCCATGGCCCTTCCCGAAGGCTCTATGTGAGCTGCCCCATCCAGAAGGCTCTGCATTGTGACCTGCTGCTCACTCTTGGCTGCCAGGGCCAGTACACAAGGCTAAGCTGGAGAAAGAGGCTGGAAGGCTTCTCAGCACATCAGAACCACCTCTGAAATACTCAGGCTTGGCAGCTCAATGCAGGCCCAAGTGCAGAGGCCCTGCCAGCATTCCAGATGTTGGCAGGCAGACAGGAGGTTACATCTGGTTTGCGTCAGGACTTTTTTTTTTTTTCCTGAGGTTTTAGCAGGTTCCTCCATACATGGCAACAGTCCCAGAGCTGCCTCTGGGTCAAATGGTATTTCTCTGCCTAGCCAAAGCTGGGGAGTTGGTTTTCATTTTATTCTTCTAGTTTGGGGGATAAAGGAAGAGAGGCGCATAGTTGAAGGGATATAAACTATCAGAAAAAAAAAGCATAACAAAACAAAAAACAAACAAAAAAATTCCGTTAAGTTTCATACCAAAGTCAAACTGACTCACTACGGACAATTTTGTCTTGAGTGAAGTGTTAGTGTCGAATTAAAGAACAGAAATCGCCAGAGTAGATAGATACTGCTATCCTTCTGTTTACACGATGAAAGAAAGGATCGTCCCAAGAAAGCCCTAGGGCAGCCTCAAGCTTGGGAAAGTCAGCTAAATTGGATGGAGGAAATCACTGGGACTCACAGACACATCTCAGGACTGACTCTAGGCACACCGTTCTAGTCAGTTTATTCTCTCTGATTTGCTGTCTTTTCAGCCAGAATGGCATTGCCAGTCTCGGGTTCTTCTCGGTAAACATGAAGGGTTTTCAGCAGGAAAGAATTTGAGGCTAAGCAAACATTCTACCCCTAAGCTACTATCCCAGCCCTAATAGCTCTTTTCTTTTTCTCTTGTTTTGAGAAATAAACATAGCCCAGAGTGGCCTCGAACTTTCTATGTAGCTGAGATCGGCCTTTACTTCCCCCTCCTCGTAGCTTTGCCACCAAAGTATTGAATTATAGGCAGGCACCACCACATCTGGCTCCTAGCCCTCAAATTATTTTTTTTAGCTTTGTTCTAAGGAGTTTTTAAAGAAAGGGGTTCCCTCGGGAGATAGAGAGCACCCCCCACCCAACAGTCTCAGATCTATTATGATACGATGAGCCCTCAAGAGTGCAGACAAGGGGGCTGGTGAAATAGCTCAGTGGTTAACAGCACTGACTGCTCTTCCAGGGGTCATGAGTTCAAATCCCAGCAACCACATGGTGGCTCACAACCATCCGTAATGAGATCTGATGCCCTCTAAGGGGGTGTCTGAAGACAGTTACAGTATGTTTACATATAATAAATAAAAACTTAAAAAAAAAAAGAGTGCAGACAAATATGGCCCAGAGTCTGGACCACATCACAGCTTCCCAACATGACATTTCTGTGAATAGAAGCCAACAATAGGAGTCCCTTGGGGCCTTATCCATGGGTATTTAAGATGTCCACCGTTAAGAACAACTGAATAGCTTGTTGAAACCTAGAACTGCGTAGTACACAGAGCAAGCCCAGAAGCATAGTTTATGCTGATGTCAGAAATAAATGGCCCCATGTCACTGAGGGTCTTAACTGGGCACAGCTGCATCAGCGGCCTACTGGCCTCTGAGTGTGCACGGTCTACCCAGAGATCCCTGGTTTGAATCTACACTTAGTAAGAACCACCATCTTGGAAGAATAGTTTCTTATTCGCCTGAGGTCATAAGACAGATTAAGTCCACATCCACCCACCAAGGCCGAATCACAAATGTTTACTAACAATCACATGTCCAGACACATGCTCATCCAGGTGTGTGCATCTACACACCCTCACGTACTCTGACCCTGCCCTGGTCAGACACACAGACCAAGCCAGGACGCACTAACATCCGGCCTTCTCTCACCATGGTTTGTTGACTCTCCATTTAATCTGTAACTTCTCCCCCATCCATCCATGCTTACCCGGGGTGGGCTGAGGACTCATCCTGGAATCCACCTCTAGGTACTGAGCTTTGGTGGGGGAGGGATGTAATACTGAGCCTCTTAAAAACATTAACTTGCTAGTACCGTTCAGCTTCTAATGCCCTCTACCAAAGTCCCAATGACCCCAGCAGGAGCTGGAGGGGAGGGGGGTTTGGCAGACCCCTCATTGTCTTGTTAGTTCTCCAAGAAGCTAGAAGGTGGAGTTGCCAACGTGAAGCAGGTCTTCCCATCGAGTTTCTGCTTAGAGCTGGGCAGACTGCCATCCAGCCATGGCCAAAGTCTGGCTCTTCATTCCACTGCAGAGCAGGACAAAGAGCCCCCGGGGAGAGGCTGTGTACAGCTCTGGCCCCAGTAGAGGCAAAGTTCCCGCTGCGTAATTTCACTCCTCTGATTTCTCTTCAAGGCCGGCCCCTGACCCCTGTAAGACACCCAGGCTAAGAACTGAGTGCATCCTGTCAGCCAGACTCAGAAGTGGCAGCCATGCCCCAGAGGGTCACCTAACTGACCACCAAAAAAAAAAAAAAAAAAAAAAAAAGTCTCTCTTCCTTCATCCCGAGACCTTAGCTGGAGAATACAAGACAACCCAGGAGAGGTACCAGGCTGTTTCTTTGAGATTTTGCTCAAGGGGTGCCCCTCATGGTAGTTCCCCACTGCTGGCCTCTAAGACGAGATCCTGCACAGCAGAAGAACCCGTCTCCTCCCCTGTGACTCTCACCAAACTTGGCTCCCTTTACCCTATGGTCTCCAAAGTCCCAGTCTCAGCTCTGTCATCTCCATCTTCACTGTCACTCCAAGCTATGGACCTTATACTCTGTATAAAACACCTCAAAACTACGAGACACTTGACAGAGGAAGAAACTGAAGTCACCTTAGTGAAGAAGAGGAAAGGAGATGTGTCTCTGGCCACTTGAAGCACCAATAGTTTAGGCTATGTTAACATTAAAGAAAAACCTCTAGGCAGCCATGTTCTTCCTTCCCTCTCCCCTAAAGCACAGAATGTCTGGGAAAGCCCAGTTTTCATGACATGACTAGATTCCCAGTATTGAAGTAGGGACAATATTTGCTATGTCGACTAAAAATTAACCCAGCCTGCCTGTTCCTTAACCCTGTCCCTGAGAGACCTAGAGCCTGGTTTAGGAACTCCCTGTCCCAGGCTTGACCTCCCTATCGAACACCCTCTTTGATTTCAAAAGTTGAGGGTCAGACAGTACCATGATGTGAAACTGTAGATTTTATGATGCATACCCCGCTTCCCCCCCCTCTGGTGGCCTTGGTTGTACCGAACACCCACCTGTCAGAGAGGAGAGCAAGGCAGGCTGGAAAGAGAAGGAATAACCTGTCCCCAGGGGAAAAAAAAAATCACGAGAGCTGTGTGCTAAAGGACAATTCACCTAAAGAATCAGATGAAGCTCAGTCCTAAGAGCAACGGACAAAAACAGTAGACTTATATGCCCTTTATTATTTATTATTAAAGAAAATAATGCCTTTATTTCTGGGACACAGGTCCCAAACCTGAAGACCTAAAAAGAACAGTGGCCCTCTGACAGTGTAAAGTGTGGGCTGAGCCTCCCTCAGTAATTCACCAGAGATCCTTCAAGGCTGTGGTACAGCTCTATAGGGACTCCTGCCATGATGCAAAGGTGTCAGGCCATGGCAAGGAAGTACTCCTCTGATGACTAGAGAACATTGCCCATAGCTTGCCAATCAAGTGACTAAGGTTTGCCCTCCTGTTACCAAATTTTCCCTCTTCAGACAGTTGTGTCCACTGTGTTCGTAGAAGACAAGGTCAAGAAGTGGGAGGGGAATTAGTGTCTTGAGAGCTGAATTCCAAGACAGACATATTGGTACCCTATTCCTAGACACCTCTTGAAGCTGGCTAGCCTCACATCCACCAAGCAGTCAGAAAGTGTGCCAGGCCTTCCAGACTCAGAGGATCTGATTCTCCTCCACACAGTATGAATGCTCCTATGCAAACAAGAGAAGCCTCTTGTAGAGCTCTTTGGGGTTGGGCTCAAGTTGGGGAGAGGGGAGACTACCGGTCATCTTCACCTGCTGCTAGATCCTCAGCAGCTGGAAAGGAGAAAAGACTCAAAGTGGGCATCCTAAAAATGCAACCCTCTCTCTTGGTCTCACTGCCCCCAAGATCAAGGAATCACTCCCCCGAGACCCTCCTCCTCCAGCAATGCTGGTTGCCAGTCTGGCATTTCTCCCAGAATATTTTCTGCTGACCCATCTCTCCTTGCCCCAGGAGCAGGAAGGGCAGAGAGGCACCCCTGGGGTCCACCTCCTTCCTGTTTTCCCTGCCTCCTGCTTTCCTCAGACTAACAAGCTTGCTGAGGATTGAGGAAGTGGAGTGGTCTGGGACCCAGAGCAGGAAGCTCGGGACTGAAGTCCCAGCATCCGGACTGCAACAATGGAGGATTCAAATATCAGGAAAGAGAGAAGCTTTGCTGCTTCAGAGGGCCTGGCTGTCAGGGAAGGGATAATAACCAGAGTCAGGGAGACAGAGAGGCGGAATGTGCAAAGAACAGAGGACGTGCAGGAGTCACTGTCAGAGACATCGGAAGAGCGACAGCGTCCGAGATGGGAGTGGGAGGACTGCAGAAAGCTAAACTAAGACACCAAGAGAAGGAAACTAGTCAGGCTCAGGAGACCGAGAAAAAGAGAACTCGGGGCTCTTTGGTGAAACTGGAAGTTGAGAGGCACAGCAGGAAATAGAAGGACAAGGGAAAGGTTCTAAGAAGAAACCAAGAAAGGCCCACCAACAAGTGGACAAAGGAGAAAGAGTAAATACAAGATCTATCTGTCTAGCCTTCCTCTCCTCTCAGTCCCATATATCCAAGGGGTCTGCAACTCTGGACTGGCAGCTAGTACTTCCCTCCAGCCCCCTCAGATGGCACCTGCCAGAAGGAAGGAGAGAGAAACCTGGATGTGCCACCCTGGCAGAAAGAGCCCTGCCTTCTCTTCCTCTGCTTTCTGAGCCTTTGGGGGAAGTCCAAGTCTCATGTTCTTTACCACTGAAGTCCTTCTGATTTGTATGTCCACTTCACCACAGGGTGATGAGTGAAAGGCCCGGGCCCTGGCTCCTCACACCTCTGGCATCCACCTGAAACTGGGTGTGGATCAGGCTCTGGATCAGGAACAGAAAGGAACCGTCCCAATACACACACACACACACTTGCACGCACGCGCACAAACACACACCATCTTTATTGCACTCGCACACACACACTCGCCCATGCATGCATGTGCAAACGCACACACCATCCTTATCACATACACACACATACACACACACACACACACACACACGCACGCGCGCGCGCGCGCGCGCACATATGCACACGCACGTGCGCACACACACCATCCTTATCGAAGTCTTCAGGCTCTAGATGACAAATGTAACTGAATCAGATCATTTAACTTACCACAATACCCTCAGGAGCCAAGCTTACCACTGAGGCCAAGGCCCCTCTTTCCAAAGAAGTACTTGGGAGGTTTGAGATGAAGATATGGTGTAGGTTCCCTCAACCAGTGTGGCAACTGGTGTTGGGATTAAGTGCCAGCTTTCTTGACTGTCCCTATAAGGCTCTGCCACGTACCTCTTTTCTCCTCAACTCACAGGGGGCATTGATGGCCTTCCAGACCAGCCAAAATGGGAACCAAGTTGCAGGGAGGGAGGTGTTTGGGAAATGTGGTAGAGAGAAGGTAGGTGTACCTTACCAGAGGTCTGCAGGCTTTCCTGAATGGCTTCGATCTCCGACAGCTCCGTGCACACGCCTTGCCCGTGCATCAATGTGCGCAGGGGCTTCTCCACCCCCCGGGGCGGGTAGCAGCGCATGCCTGAGCCACAGCGTGGGGTGTACACCCCGCAGGGCATCCCCAAACCCAGGGCACAAGTGGCACAACAACCGCAGCCAGGCTCCCGCACCAGCTCCTCGCAACCCACGGGGGGGCGGCAGCGCGCCAGCTTCTCCTCGGAGCAAGGGGGGCAGTGGATGGCTTCGTCGCCCAGGCTTGGCCGAGGCCCTGCGGCCAGCAGCAGGGCGGCCACGAGGCCGAAGGGCAGCATGGTGAGGACGAGGGTGGGGCGCAGGAGGGGAACGCGGGCTCGCCGAGTGGACTGCAAGGGACCCAGAGGCAGCGCCCAGAGAGCTTAGAGAACCAGACCGGGAGGGCGCTGGGACACGGAGCGGCCCGGGCAGGCAGGGACGGAGCCGGGGAAGTTAGCAAGCACGCTGGAGCGGAGCGAGCCTGGCCACCGAGGCGCTGCGCTGCATCCTCGGCCGGCCCAGCAGGCGGCGGGGGGCAGGGGGCTGAGCGGCTGCCCGGGACCGGCTCCCGGGACTTTATACCGGCCCCCTGGCCACACCCCCAGCGCCGTCCCCGAGGTGGGAGAGCAGGGGAGGGCGAGGGGGAACTGGAGCAATGGAGCGGGAGAAGAGGCCGTTAGGGGGAGGGGGCGCTGGGCTGAGTCGCCGCCACCGCTACAACATCTGAAAGTCCTTTGCTCCGCAGAAGAAAGCGACGCAGTTTGGAAGCGGTGGCCCGCGCGCACAGAGCCTCTGAGCTGGACCTTGGAAAGGAAGCAGGGCGAGGGGAGGCGAAGGGAATATTGCTTGGTCCCCTCCCTCGACCTCGAAGGATTCCTTCCCAGACACCTAGGCGATTCTCGTACGGCCACTGAGAACCTGACATCATAGCAGACTCAAGATCCTCTCGTTCAGTCCCTATCCCCAGCCAGAGTCCTCCGGCCACCCCCACCCACCCCACCCCCGGGTACGTCCAGTCTCAACCTCTAGAGACCGTGCTGAAGGCGACCAAGCAGTCTTCAAGAGGTCCAGGAGAGACAGCTCCGGCCTAAGGTGCTAACAGGCAGTCTTCTCTGGGCCCTGAACCTCTGCCGCTTGACCCCCGCCCCGGGTTCCATTTGGGCCTTGCTGCACTCTGCTTCCAGAACTCCGGGACAAAGTGCCAAGCCGCTTCCTCCTTCCTAGATGTTTTTCCCTCTACCGCCCTGCTTAGATTCTGGAAGGAGGCGGCCATTGGCTTTGTACAAGATGTGAGTTGAACAACTCCAGGGGGCGCCACTCTTTGTACTCATTGTGTATTTGCATAGTTACTGTAACAGTTTCCCAGTAGATGGCAGTCAAATATTTCCAGAAAGGGAAGCCTTCTTTTAATTTTCCCGATGCCACTTTGCCCCGGGTGACACTTCTATTGATAAACATATCCCTTCCCCTCGCAGCAATTCTGTTGGAAACGGGAATCGATCTAGAGTCGCATTTGGAGGAGAGACCCACCTCCTACCACCTTCCTTTTAGTTACTCCCTACGCCTCCTCATCCTCCCCAACCAAGGAGTTCGCTTCAGTGTGTGTCCAGTCACAGTTGGAGGTCCGAAGGATTTTGCCGGCAGATGGGGTCGGGAGGGTTGGGCTAAACATCTGAGGAGCAACCAACCTAAAGACTTCCTAGTCCTCTTCCGGTTCTTTGTCCCAGACTCGGGGTCTTACAGCCTCCGGGGAATTAGGCCACCTCCCACTTTCTGTAACGCAGACCGTTGGCGCGGTTGGAGGGGAGAAAGGCATCAAGACCGGGACCTGGAGGACAGACCAAAAAGTTGCGAACTGACGGCACCTACTGGCAACCTCTAAGACTGCAGTAGGGTTGAAGTGTTAGGGCCAAAGACAAGGATTCTTTTCCTCAGTCATATCTCAAGGGTAAAGTTGGGTCTCTCCTGGCCCATCTGCCAGAGAGAAAAGTAAACAGAACAGGTTCTTCAAGCTCCTGGGGGAAGCCTGCGGGGTTTTGTTTTGTTCTTGTTTTTCTTTTTGTTTTTATTTGATTCGGAAGCCAGTCCCTGCCCCCATTTTCTTCCTTAAATGCAGTCGCAGTCAGACTTCTATGTAATGCACCCACTTGAAGTTTGTATCTAGCTAAAAAGAATACTGATGGTCACCTGGAGTTGGGGTTATATATAGGCAGTTGTAAGCCACCTGAGAACTGCTGGGAACTGAACAGGAGTTCTCTGAAGCAGAGCCTTTTGTCTCCAGGTCTCCATTTAACATTTAAATGGGTAATTTTCATCACTGAAGAAATGAAGAGAGGAGGTAAAAAGGAAGTTGGGGTGGGGCAGAATTCTTGGGCTCAACCACAGAGAACGGTTAGAAGAAAGACTGAGGTGATAATGACAGGGGATCTGAGAACTGGAGATATAGCTTCCTTGTAGAGCACTTGCCTAGCATGTGGGAGGTCCTGGATTCAAATCTCTGTAGCCCTTGAAGGTCATTTTAGCCAGGTGTGGTAGCCCATGCCTTTGCTCCCAGTACTTAGGAAAGGCCAGTCTGGGCCATACAATAAGACTGTCTCATACCGTCACCACCCTCAAGAAGAAAGGGAGGAGTCTGAAATCCTCAGGCAGAGTTACTGGCACAGGCTGGTTCCTCCACCTGGCGGTGCCTCCTGTGTGATGGATGCTCCCATAAGGTGTCTCCGGAAAGCAGAACTCAGTCCTATTTTCCTGCTCTTGCCTGGGCCAGAGTGTGGACAGCCTTGTAGGTCCCTGCTTCCTGGAACCTGGGAAGACACTCTACCTGGTACATAGATAGATGAGGAAACCTCACCACCTTTCATCCAGTCCTCCAGTCCATTCTCTCCCTGACTTGTTGGTTAGCCGGTTTCGTTAGCTAGCTGCCTTACTGGGATAATTCCAGACCTCTGCTGACCCAGAATACACTCCTTAGAGACAAAATTGGGAGAGGCAGGCGGATTTCTGAGTTCGAGGCCAGCCTGGTCTACAAAGTGAATTCCAGGACAGCCAGGGCTACACAGAGAAACCCTGTCGAAGAAGAAGGAGGAGGAGGAGGAGGAGGAGGAGGTGGCGGAGGAGGAGGGGGAGGAGGAGGAGGAGGGAGAGGGGGGGGGGGAGGGAGAGGAGGAGGAGGAGGAGGAGAACAAATTGGGGCTCAGGGCCGGGGCTCTCAAGGCCAATAAAGACAAAGTTGTGGCAGAGCATGGTGGTGTACTTATGTAATTCAATCGTAGGCAGAGGCAGGAGGATCTCTGAGTTTGAGACCAGCCTGGTCTATACAGTTCCAGGACATAGTGAGACCCTCTTAATTAATTAATTAATTAATTCTGTTCTCATGGAATGCTCAATCTGATAAGCCTGCTCTCGGGGGCATCTTGTCTGATGAAATAGATGAAATATATAATTACAAGAATTAACCCTTTAACTATCGTTGACTGTGTCTCCTGGAGCTTCATGAAGTCAGTGTTATCAGTGTTGTCTTTTTAAGACAGGAAAACCGAGGCACATAAGGATTATATAACTTACTCAAAGTCACATAGCAAGTAGAGGGACAAAGACGTGACCCTAAGCTGTCTGGCTCCAGTCTGCATAATTAACTCTTACGCCTCACTGTCCCTCGAATCAGCCATCGGAAACACTCTACATAGACATCAAGGGCAGAAGACTGTGACACAGAGTTTAAGCTTAGCATGGGGGTCAGGTGGAGGTGGCATGGGTATGGGACTATGTCCCAGGCCTCCTTATAAGTTCACTTTCCAGCCCACTCCTGACTGCCCTGGACTTCACTGTGTCTCCACTAATCCCCTTCATATCTGCTGACATCTAAGTACTGTCAGGATGGCCCCATAGTTTCCCCAACTCATGGGCCAAGCAAAAGCATATCAGGACAGCCTTCTTCCTGCCCACCAGGGCTTCGTACTTGCAGAGATGTAGTCAGGAGAGCCAGGATCTTCAGCGAGGCCCACAATGCAGAGAGAACTCCTGTCCCGCCTATCTCTAGAGATTGCACTTTCTTCTCTCCCTTCCATCCTACCTCAGGACAGGCCAAGACTCTGGGCAAGGAGGAGGCACAAAGGGGGCAGTCTGTCCATCTGTCCTTGGACTGGCGGGCACCCTGTTTCCTATCTTCAGATCAGCCAGACCAGCCACTTGCCAGTTTTGTGACCACTTCTTTTCCTCACTAAGGTTTCAGTCTCTGTACAGTGGGTTGGGAGAATCCATTGAATTCTGAAGCCCTGACCACCTCTGGCAATCTTGGAATATTAGAATTCTGGAGGGTTTTGTTTGTTTGGTTTTGATTTTGGGTTTTTTGTTTGTTTTGTTTGGTTTGGGTTTGGTTTTTTTGAGACAGGGTTTCTCTGTATAGCCTTGGCTATCCTGGAACTCACTTTGTAGACCAGGCTGGCCTCAAACTCAGAAATCCCCCTGCCTCTGCCTCCCAAGTGCTGGGATTAAAGGCATGCGCCACCACTGCCCGGATTTTTTGTTTTTTAACAAAAATCACTGCCCGGTTTCTCTGTGTAGCCCTGCCTCAAGAGATCCACTTGTCTCTGCGTCCCAAGTGCTGGGATTAAAGGCATGTGCCATTACCACCACCACCATCACCACCACCACCAACAACAACAGCAGCAACAAAATTCTGGAGCTCTTTTGTGGAAATACAAAGCACCCTTCTGACATAGCACCCAACCCTCCAGAGTCTGCAGCATTGTCTCCAGGCCAACGGGTAGCAATGAAATCTCTTCTTACTGACGGAAGCCTATACAGAAGGCATGCCAAGTGAACAATGTTGGACTCCATGAGATTGCTGTCACCACCCAGAAAATGACAAGGCTCACCCAAAGGCATGTGGGTATCAAACGGTCCAGCAAGTCCGGTGTGTGATATATCAACTTCCTGTGCACACTCCTACCTTTGGGCCGGAGCTGTTAGCACAAGTTCAGAACTCAAGGCAGGATGGAAGGGAGAGGAGAAGAAAATGCAATATAGAAAATTCTACAGATTCTCAGCAGACAAGAGCCGTATACTAGCATGGAGAGAGCACCTGCCTTGTCTTCCCTGATCCCTGTTGGGTCAAGAGAAGGGAATCCACTTTCCAGGAGGGTCGGCAACCCAGAATCAATGTGAAATCCCTGCTCTTTCTCCTCCATACACTAGAGGGCTCCCAGGCCCTGCCTCCTAACCTCCCAACTCTGGGGAACAAAGTGCTTGTTAGCTTCCCACTAAAGAAACTCTACTAAGGGTTCGCTGAGCCAAAAGG